GCATGAACTAAGCTCGGGATAAGCAAAGCTCGAGGAGTTCGGCTCTGTTCAGATAGAAAACCGACTCCACTCCTACTACGACGATAACCGATTTCCCCAGAACCGATGTTCCCTTCCAAGACCAAGATTCAAGGAAACTGAGAATCTGAAGCAGGTGACAAGGCGCTTACACAACCAAAATAACTACCACATAAATGCCAATCATGCCTGTGGGCCCACCTGCAATAAACCACCTTCATAAAGCCACTTTGCATTAAATGCGGCCGTACCAACCTTGAATATCGAGCCAACAAAAGTTACTATAAATAGTGAAATTTATTCTTGTATGAGCATCCGATTTCGGACATTAGTAAAAAGCATGTAAAAAGCAACTCGGTCCATATGTAAACCGATTTCCTGAAAAGCATAACGATCTTTCAATAATACAAATTTCTTGCATTCTACACATTAATTATTCGTGATAATAGTTGTTAAATCCCACATAACAACAAACATCAAGAACAATAATCACATATATCCTAATAGTGGATTAAAATACTCCTGCAAAACCAAGTTATGTATAGATATAATCCAAATTATGGTTGCACTTGGAAACACACATAATTTATGTAAGCATTAAAAATTCGAACTTTGCATAAAATTGCTTTAAACGTGGCTCTGGTACTAATTGTTGGGATCTATAAGGATCGCGACTAAAATGCAAGTTACAAATTTATTTACTAAATAACCAGATAGAAGACTTACGGTTAAAAATTTGTCGGCCCTAAGATGTTTCTGATTTTCACTGTTAAAAATCGTCTAAACTTCAAGTCTAACCTCAAAGCCCGGAATAGACACAATTGCCTCATGAATTGCTAAAATCGATGGAAATCAAAAAAATTCCAAAACTAATTCCAAATAAAAGAAGCTAAACTTTTCATAGAAATTCAATCATTTTATAGCGATGCGTTTTCTTAGTGGACCCAAAAGAAATAAATTTGGGTTTCCAAAAATGGCAAAATGTCTATAAAAACTTGTCCTTCCACATTAGTCCAGTACTAAATAACGGGAATTAAAAAAATAAAATAAAATAAACATGAAACATTATCATAATGTTAATACCATTAAATGACCATAAAGATTTACAAAACACAAATTTTGACCATGTTTTTTAAAAAATATCTTTTTTATCCATTTTGACATGTGCTATTACTAAATTGCCCCTTAATAGTATTAACAATTTCTTTCTGTCAATTCACATTTCACCTCACTCAAACACAATTCATTTCCCCCTATTTGTGTTCCACTTTCACAGA